AATATTTTAATATTTGTGGACTCAGGGGAGCCTGTCTGACAGAGAATTGTTATTAGAAAAGAATTCAAATCCTAAATGACATGTCAACACTAGATTAATTTATCCAATCTGAGAACACTACAATTTTCTCTCCTAACCATAAGACATATTTGCAAATAATTTGGTCTCAGTTTCTCAAAACAGAAATGATAAAAACACAAATACATCAAACATAAACGATACTATATATTTTATCCTCAGTTAATTGAGATAACATGCCAGCAGCCCAGAATAACTGATGATGAAGATAATTGCTTTCAGGACAAGAGAAAATGTTTCTGAAGACAGCAATGCACTCTCCCACAACTTTGGAATCAGCAGTATAGTGTTTTACCATTAACATGACATCATGCCCATCACTCCTTGCCAATCGGGGAACTGATTCTCAGCAGCAGGGCTGATATCCAGCAGCCTCATCTCAAGGCTGGGCCACTGATTAAAATGAGAGCAGGGAGAAGCTGCTGGCTACAGCGATGGGAGAAATCTCAAGTCTTTTATTATTATTATCATTATTCACCATCAAACACGATTCTCCCTGGCTTCTCTGTGATCTTTCACCCATGCCAAATTCTGATCACTGAAAAAACTGAGAGAACGTATTCAAAGCAGGGTTATACAGCATAACTCGGTTACATGCCCAGAAAATCACCAGTATAGCAGCAGCACGAGAAAGTTCTATTTCAGAAAAAGACATTTAGAAATTGTAAAGATAGGAAACCCAGAAACATTCAAAGAATCATCAAATGTAGTTCATAATATTGTAAAAATAATTCTAAAATATAACAATGATCCACCACCCCAATATACTCCTTTTCACCAAGCAAACTCACAGCAAGCAGGTCCTGTGTATGACGTGGAGAACATTCAGAGGCAACCAATACCTGGTCTAACCGAGAGTCGAGATTTTACAGTATTCCCTCCATTGACTACCTCCTATCTAGATGAGTGGCAACTACACATTATCTTAAAAACTCAATCAAACTTAAAAACTGCAGAAACTAGAGAGAGATGTTGCAGTCGGCTTTTAAAACAGACTAGAGGAATAGAAGGAAGAAAAGGAAAGAAATTCAGCAAGGACATTTTGCCCCATAAAATGCTTAACTCACGAAGACAAAAACAAACATTTCCTCAGAGACTGGAGAGCTGAGGCTGTCCTTGGCACCTTGGGCATGAAGTCAGTGGCATTTTCAGGCTAAGAGAGGGGACAAAGGTAGGGGGAGGGGCAGAGAAGTCTTGGTTCATTGGGCCACACCTTCTAATAGGCCAGCTCAAGAAATTTGTATTTACACACTACACAAGTCACAGGATCTGGCAGCAGCAAGGCTAAATCTAATCTTCACTTGGGTGATAAGCAATTTGTCCTTCAAAATCAGAACAGGCAGGCTCAGGAGTTTCTAAGACTTTTACATTTTGTTATTTCACTCTCCTATTAAGCTCTTTAGTCTGGGTCAGTTACACCTGTGTTTCAAATGGTTCTGAGCTAGTTATATTGTTCAGTTCTCAGACAGAGGAAAACAGCTGTCCAGGGTAAACCTTGAAACCCAGCCAAGAATCTTCATTGGGTCTGCACCTGTAGCAGTCCTTTTTTAAAACTGGGTTTTAAAACTGTGTTCTGCAGAAAACTGTTAGTTTGAATTTAGTTGGTGTTGTGAAGCTGGGTTTGAAGGGTTTTACCAGGTTCTATGTCATTATCTGAGTTCTTATGTTTTAAATTTGTAGGATGCAAATTTAAATTTCCTTTTTTTTCATCTGACCCACAATCACATTCATAGCTCATACAGAGTGGTCAAAAAAGATGTTAGCACACAATAGATGGACAATACTCTGATTTGTTTTCTCTAACCTTGAAAAAGAGCAGCAATAAAGAAAAATGTTATTATATTCCCTAAACATTCCTAAAATTCTTCATCATTGCTTGCCTGTAATTCTGTCTCCCTCTCCTGCATGAGACTTTTCACAGTGTAAATTATTTCCTTACAGTTTTCCATTTAAAACTTTAGATCTTTATAATAATTTCTAAAAAAACTACTCTTCCTATAAATGACTTGTGATTTTTAAAGGCTCGAGAAATTCCTGCTTAAAAATAATCTTAAAATGAGATCTGCCAAATACTTTGAAAGGATCCCCCCAGACTTGCTCATTCCTAATTGCTCCCTTGAAATCTTCCAGCACGTGGGAAACACTGAGTTCTGAAGGGATCCTGCTTCATCCTGGGAGAGCACTCTTCAGCTATCAGCAAGAAACCAATCATACCACCATGCTATCTATACCAAAATTGCCTAAAAAATGAGGACCTCAAGTGGTCCTTTAGGAAAAAAGATGTTTATAAGTGGGATTATTTCATAAACGTCCCCTGGCCCTGAGTCTCTTCTTTGGCTGCTTCCACAACAAAGATGAAAAACATAACCTTCTAAAATGACAAAACCCTGCAGCAGTTACCCTCTCAAGGACTAAGCCCAATAAACAACAAATTTTACATAAGTAGTCAAAAATCAAACTCACTCTTTCAAAGGGCAACCATAATATTCAACTATAAAACTTGTAATTGTGGTTTTTAAATTCAGTGTTAAACATGGTCAGCAGGGTATGGCGCATACAAAAGAAGGGAAAAATACAACTTAAAAAACAGATCAAAGAGAATAATTTAACAAAACCAATATCCCCCAAATAATCACAGCCCTATCGAAATTGTCTACTTGCATTACTGGCTCCATGGTTATTTTTCAAGTATTTTTCAGATTCCAGTGGCCTGTGTCATTCCATGTTAAATGTTGCCCCTATTAGTATAGAAATCAGATAAAAAAAATCCAGCGAGTAACTGCCAGCCCATTTGTTTCTACACACGTACAATTGATTTGTTCTTTTTAAAAATTTTTTTTTAGTTGTCAATGGATCTTTTCTTTAATTAATTAGTTAATTTATATATATGCAGTGCTGAGGATCAAACCTAGGGCCTTACACATGCCAGACAAGCACTCTACCACCAAGTCACAACTCCGTCCCAAAGAAAGTTCCTTTTATACAAGGTTAGGCAGAGTCTATAAACAGAACATAGTTGGCAAAGTAGTTCAAAACACCACACATTGGTGTCTGCATATTTGATTAAAAGTTAACCATGGTGATGAACAAACCCATAGAAGAAGCTGGAAAGGAGAAGGCACTCTTTCCACAAAGAATCTGTTTGGACATTGAAACAATTGTCTAAGTGCTTTTATTCCAGTCCGCAGGCACATGATTGTTATTTAGAAGCACAAGGGAAATATTGCTCGGCATGCAGTTAAAGAAGGCAGAGGATAAAAGAAATCATCATAACACGGCTTGTCCCTTGTAAAGGAAAAATTTTCAATTAACACCACTCTAAGGCTCTCAGGTTTCTTTTTATCTTTCTGGAACTTCAGCTGTACTCATGAATGTCTTTCATCTCATTTGCTTTACTTGACTGATAGCACTGGAGAGCTTTCCAAATAGCATGTGGTATCCTTACATCTACTGGATTCGCTAATAAGGAATAAGTGTGCTTTTCTTGGGTTGCTGGAGAATGTGACCTAGAATAGGCCAAACAAATACAAATAAGCTCATACTGCTACGCTTACTGGGCCACAGCCTGGTCTGTGCTCCAAACTGTTCAGAGCAACATGTTAATAACTGATTGTATCTGATGTCTGCAAACTTCAAATTCCTGTTTGGTCATGAGGTGAGCGCATGACAACAGCTGTTAGGCCCTCTGCTTAGAGTTTCGCTTCTGTCATCCCACTGTGGGGGGCCAACGGAAAGGTCATTGAGAGCCTGAGAGGGATGGAGTTTCCTTTTGAAGCTTAGGACATTTTCACCCTCCCAGGGCTTAGACATTCTTCTTGTGTTCCCCATATCACTGGTAGTCCCTTGATGAGGAAGGACAAGGCCCTTTTTATTATCTTGGTTTGGCTAAATGATCTGTGTGCTATTTGGTGTAGCAGAGATGCTTTGGGGCAACCATGTCCAAAATGGCAGCAGGCAGTTAGTTACTTTAGGCTGTAAGGCCTGTTGCTTTAGAATCTTCACGATTCTGCTTCTCTACAGCTTTACTCAACACACAAAGATACTTTTTAACAGCAAAAGATCAAAGGCACAATTCCTCGAAGAAAAGTATTTTAAGGAGAGCCATAAAAAGCAAAAGGGACAGTTAATTTATAAAGGGTAAAACATTTTTCACAGGAGAAAAGATAGCTAGAAAATGATATATGAGGCTTGAGAAAATACTAATTATAATAAGAGTTCTAACATTTGCAGAGTTCTATTGTTCTCACTTTATGCTTTCCACAGATTATCTCATTCAATATTCATAAAGGCCTTTTAAGGTAATTTGGAGTCCAGGTAATAGAATTAATTTTACTGTTATTTACATGAAAAGATGTACCACTAAACTACCACCATTGGTACCATTTGCTAGTGGGAGTCTTGTCCCAAATCTTTCTTATCTGTTTTCCCCAAAACAATTAGTAATTAGTTAGTAGTTAATTATTTTCAGTTTCCAAAGAGAAATGTTGACTTTACTATATTTAGATATGATCAGGCAAATTTATCAACTCACGGTGAATTTCACAGTTTGTATTCTTACTAAGGAAAAGCAAATCATATTCTACCTGGTGTTAAACTAATGATCTGTTCTACTGACATGTATGCATTGTGGGAAAAAGAAAACACTTAGCAATTGTACCATTTGCCCCTAGAATAACCCCTCTTCAGACTAAATCTCAGGGACATGTGATGACCAGGTCAAAAGCATCACCCTTGATATTTTAAAGTGACTCACCAAAGATATCAAAATAAGATTAGAAAAATATTTATTATTCTGTTGACTGTAGATCAAAAGCTTTTTTTTTTTTTTTTTTGCTGGTAGAGTCACCATGGTTATTTTTTTATTTTTTGTTTTTTTACCTTATGACAGTTTTTAGAAGTAGGCAGAGAGAAGAGCTACTCACGTTCTCCTTGTCAGGAATCCCTAGAGAAAAAAAAAGAGACAGAGAGAAGCCATAAATTGTCTGATCAACCTGTACAATGATACTGAAATCCTTTGCTGAACAAAGACAAATAACATTTTGGTGTTTTCCATAAAATCTCATATAATGCTGGTTAGGAAAACAGCAGCATCGATAAAAATTTATAACCAATAAATCAATGAATCAGGAGCAGGGATATGTGTCCAGGCAACAAAATCCACACTTATTTCAGTTCTCTCCCATATACTTTATTTTCCCAGAGGCAAAAATCCATCCTTGATTCATTCACATCATATAAGTAACTAATTCCACTGACTCAGCACCAAAGCACTCCCAGCCGTGGACAGGCGCGCCAGCCCTTCGGTTGCATCTAATGCATTTTTACATCATAAACCATCTCACCCTGTTCCAGTGATTTGAATCTGGGGGCAACTAGGACATAAAAAAACCACTGGTAGACAACTTCCATTTTGAGCAAAGAAACCTTCTGCTTCTTCCAAATCAGGCCTGAGTGTGGCAGTGACTCTGTCCGGGGTATCTCAGTTATTTTTAGTTAGCTAAAAAGTGAACTTTCCATTGATTTACTCATCCATTTATAAACATTTCATGGGTATCTACAACAGGTAGGCCCTATCCTTTTTCACTTCCTTTGGGGCTGCTACCCTGATAGACGTGGTGATGATGGCCACATTGGAAGGTCCCAGAGTCAGCAGAGCTTAATGTACCCAGTACAGTGGGCACAAGTGGTCTCATATTGAGGGAGAAGAAACATGGGTGGTTTCCACGTGTGGCTTGCACCTCATTTCAAACCAAGGAAGCAGTGTATGGTGGTTTGCATTGTAAAAAGAGTGGACATTCTGAGTAAATAGGACGTTCTTTGTCTTACACAAGAGACCACACAGAATTTACGACATTGGTATTAACAGAACTGAGTGCCCACCCTAATGGGCACCATGCAAAAAAGGCTAGGTGGGGAAGAGATGTAAGCTTTGCCCTCCAAACTAGGATAGACTCAGGGGAAACATCTCAGGCAGGAAGCAGGGGACAAAGACAGCTGTCCCCTGAAATGGGCAATATTAACGGGAATATTGGTCATTACTTCCCAGATCTGTCAGAAGGAGTGAGGGTGAGCTGATGTCAGTACCCTGCACCATCTCAAATCCATCCACCCATCTGGCAATCCCACAACCATTTGGAAGAATGACAGTTGACTGCTTGAGAGGATACAAAAGCTTATTTTCTAGGACATTCAAGAAAATAAAGACACAGTTGCACAAATCACCATATCAGAGTTGCCGGAAAGGGGTATGTGTAGGGAAATAATACTGACCAAGTGGCCTGAGGCCATGCAGGAGCTTGAAAGTTGAACAAAGGCATTAAGAGTGTTGGAATTCAAACTTCCATGGACAACAAACAATCATTGAAAGGTCTGGGGGAACAGAGTGATAAGATCAAGAGAAATGAGGGAAGGAGATTATTCAAAAAGAACAGATATTTAAGACACTAGCAGCAGGTGCAACGGCATGGGCCTTGATTGGAGTCCAGTTTGAGTAATCAGCAATAAAGATATGCAGTTCCAGAAATTTGATCGTGAACTTAATAGTGGATGTTGTTAAAGAAAATCATGCCAGTGATTAGATGTCAGAGTGGTGGTATGCTTACACATGGAAGAAGCTTTTCAAAAATGCCTGTGGAAGTATTGGGGCAAAATATGCATAGATGATGAAAGGAAGGAAGTCTGGCAAAATATCAACCTTAAACTACATGTTAATTTATTAATATTAAATTAATATTAAATTAAATCGAAGTGATGAAAAGAAAGGTGTTAACTATATTATTCTTTTTACTTTCTATGTTTGAAATTTTTCATAATAAAAAGTAAAAAAAAAAACAAAAAAAATTTTTTATGGAAATCAGGTAGAAGGTAAACCAAGGGTAAGATACCGAGAGCCAGTCAGCTCATTTCTGCTCTTGAGTGAAGAGTGACAAGGCCTCAGCCAGGTGGCTGCAAGGGGAAAAGAAAGTCAAGGGCATGAAGACTGCAGAGGAAGGGGCAAGGCCGGGGGACACCGCGTGGCCTCCGTGGGTGGGAGAGAAAGCAGGAACCCAAATGGCTGCGGGTCAGAGCTTGGACTGGGAGGAGCACAGAGGAAGGACTGGTGGTGGGCTTTGGGGAGAAGGACGGTCTTATGGAAATCAGTCTGTGTTCCCTAACCCACACTTTTTGAGGTGAAGAGGCCAGCAGGACATCCAGGTAGAAAGGGAAGCCGTGGCTCCTGGAAAGTTAGGTCTCCCAGTGATGGGGAAAACGGAGATGCTGGCTGAGGAAGTCTGTACCAGTCACAGGGAAGACAGGATGGCTGAGGAGAAAACAAAGAACAAAGCAGCCAAGGCCAGACTCTTGGGAAATAGCTACACTTTGGGAAGAAGTAACTGCGAAAGAGGCAAAAATGCAAGGGACAGATGAGGAAACCAGGACGTTGCACAGGAGCCCGAGGAGCTCAGGGAGAATGGAGGGGAGAGCTACTGAAGTCGGTAGGATTGGGGAGTGGGGGCAACTGGATCTTTTATGAGTTGGTTACTGGTAACCCTGGAGTGGTGCATTCAAGAGGCTGGGGCAGAAGCCAGAGTCTGAGGGCCATGGAGTGACAAGGGGAAGAGGTACTGGCTGCCACCATGTGGATGCTCATCCTAGGCCTGGCACCTTTCCACACACTTGACTCATTTTCATTCATTTAATTCTCACGACCATCCTGTGAAGAAACCAAGGCACAGTGGATCTGAGCGTCTAGTCCAGGTCACACCGCTAGGAGGAGGCACTGCTGGAATTTCATGCCCAGCACTCCTCTTGAACCAGTTATCCTCAGCTCAGCCAGGACAGAGAAAAACCAGCACGGGAGGAAAGGAAAGAAAGACCTGCCCCCACCCTGCCTGCCATCCCCCTGATGGAGGGAGAGAAGCAGAGGGCTCACCCAGAGCGGGGAAACAGGAGTGGGAAGGTGAAGCAGCTCCCCAGAGATGCCTCCAGCTAAGTGGGAAGAGGGTCCCTGCAGAGTGACAAAGGAGTGAGGGCAGAAATTCAAGGACCAGCAAGAGGGTATGAAGGGCGATTCCATGTCCCTAAGACACTTGGATTGGAACCACTGCACACTCATCACTGTGCCTGGTGGTCAAAGTACCACAGTTCAAACACTCCAGTACTTGGTGTCTTGTTACACACTCACACACACACACACACACACACACACACACACACAGAGCCTAAGGAGACACACAGGTACATGGAGAGACTCCCAGTGACAGCAGTAACAGAACTACACAGAGGCTTCCGACAACCATGAAGACACACAGACTGAGGGGACAGGGGATTTCTTGGAGTCTATGGACACCTGCCAGAAAAGAGAGTCACACAGAAAAACTTCCTTTCTTTTACCATCAGCCAGAAACTAGTCTCTTGCAAAAGGCCTGACTGTTTTTAGCCATCTGCACTTCACGTATAGACCATGCCACTTGGCCATGCATAGACCTGGAGACACGAGCACCACGGTTAACCTGCCCATCACTTTCCACGGTCACCCTCGTGGTGCTTGGAGGAGCACCCACCGTCTACCAAGGGCTGGCATCTGAAGAGGCCGTGATTTATCAAGAATAAGAGATGAGTCACACTGCTTCTCTGCGTGATCAACAGAGTCAAAATAAGGAAGATGTCACAGAGACAAGTGCTGTTCATGAATCCCATCTTTGAAAGAGCAGAGAAACAACCTTGCATTTCGCTATCAGATGAAAATAATTTGAGAAAGTACCTCTATGCATGTCTATGCCTCAGCTGGCACCAGAGTATACTTCCCTCCATTAGCCAAGACCACAAAATAATCTTACATTAACCATTTTCAGATATCTCGAGTGTGAGCTGGCAGGTCTATTTATCCACAGAAAAGTCTGGAGATTTTCTGTCAAGCTGGTGTAGGACATTTTTGTTGTTGTTCACATGTAAACACGTACCACACGACAAATTTTTAGATACAACATGTTCACATTTTTCACTTACTGTCATTGTTAGAGCCCGTTTCCATAACACCATAAGGAGGAGCCAGAAGTCCTGCCATATACTGCCGATATTTCTGAAAGACAAGATTGTAAACTCAGCACACAGATATTTACTCACTTGGAGCATTCATTTATTTACATGCTACAAAGCAGAAACGCTGAGTGTCAGGAAGCATCTAAGCCTTATGTTTGTAAAGCCGTGAAACGTGCTCCCTGGGGCCTCTGGTCTAAAATAAAGATGTTGGATTCTACCTGGGTCTTCCTGGATAGGACTGAATGTGCCCCCTGCCCAGGTGAGGGGTCCATCTCAGCCTGTTTGTGCATCTGAATGGTGTGGGCTTCCTACCCTCCTCCCTGCCCTGCAAACACATGCTCAGCTTTTGCTAGAGAGAAACGGCACTCCGTTTTTATAGATGCAGATACAAATAACTGTGCTTCCTTCTTAATAGGTGAATGGCACTGAATCAGACTCTTTCAAAGCAAAAAGAAACGCATCTCTTGAAAAACTGTCTTTTTGAAAGAAGCTTGTTCGCTTCCTTTTACTTACTTCCTTTTATACTGTACACCTGCCTGCTCTGTGACCTCCAAAGAATTTTTGGTATGTTGTCAAATAAAATAGGTTGGCTTAATTTAGAGCCATTTGGATTCTCCTGAATTATACTCCCCTGGCTTTTGGGCCAGGCGGTCTCTGATCCTGGGGCTGCTTGGCAATATACATTAGCCCTGGGAGTCTATGTTGTTCGGGAGAGATGAGGTTTGGTGCGTGCCAAGTAACCCTTGAGTATCCCACCAGAGAGGAGTAGTGACATTTACGAAGAATGGAAGATGAATGTCCACCATCTTTCCTCCCTTTGCAGGTAGTAAATGCAGCCTCCTCTCTTTCAGAATGAAAGCTGGGCAATTCTAGCACAGGGTGTCATGTATATTTATGGTTTATAATTACAGTGACACATAAATGTTCAACAGCATCAAAAGAATCAATGCCCTGTAAGGGGCTCATGGGTTACACAAACGTCAGCAGAAAAGACTTCATCTATAGCAATGGGAAGCTGGTGACATGCTGGATACGCCAGTATTTGGGCCACCATCTGGCCCATTTGGTAGATTTGAATGGCATATGTAATGTAACATTGATGCTTTCTCAAAAGAGCCTTCTAGTCAAGATGCAACTAAGTTTTTTTTTTTTTTTTTAAATCTTTTTTTCTCATTTGGAAGCAACCATCCTAACACCTGCACACAAACATTAAAATCATAATTTTCTGTGCTTCTAAGTTAACAAGTCACTCACACAAACTCACAGGGCCAATATATCACCTTGCATTCCTGCCATTTCCTTTGATTACCCCTCAATTCTGATTCTCGTACTGGGATTGAACTCAAGGGCACTCAGCCACAGAGTCACATGCCCAGCCCTATTTTGTCTTTTATTTAGAGACAGGGTCTCACTGAGTTGCTTAGCACCTCACTTTTGCTAAGGTTGGCTTTGAACTTTCAATCCTCCTGCCTCAGCCCCCTGAACCACTTGGATTACAGGAGCGCACCACCATGCTCTGCTGATTCTCGTTTTTCTCATGACACCTCATACCCTTCTTCTACATGGGGGGCTTTCATGAAGCACATTCCTAGGCATCCAATTATTCTGGACTCTAAATAATACACACTCAGAGACAGGAGATAAGGACTGATTATGTTGGAAGGTTCTGTGATCCCTTGTAACCTTTGGAGTTATTCCTCTGGCTGTCGGCAAGTCCCTAACAGGCTCCTAAAAGAAACAACTCATATGAATCAATGGGGCCATTTCACTTTGCTTAGACACGTTGTCTTGGATAGGATGGTGTTCATTGTCTCAGGCACCTCAATGTCAATTCCCCTGAGCTTCCTGGAAGTACCTTCCTGATCCTGGAATGAATGAACCCCATAGCACCTGTTCCGTTTTTCTCTCAAGCACACCACCAGGGCAGCCGCTAGTGGCAGCAGAAAAGAGAGCAGTCCTTTGGGGAAGAGTCGGCAGGCTGGATTTCAGAGCATGTGCATGCTGCTATGTGAGGGTGGTGTCTCAGGCCCCAGCTCAGTGCTGAAAATAAACAGGCATCGTCCTTTGCTGTCATAGTCACCTGTGTCTGTTTTCTTCTGCACGGGGCACCTTGCCTTGTAATTATATTATGGTAATTTCTCCTTATCTGAGGGGGACCCATTCCAAGACCAACAGTGGATACCTAAAACCATGGAGAGTACTGAAAACTACATGAACCATTTTTGTTCCTATCCACGCACACCTGTGATAAAGTTTGATTCATAAATTAGACATGGTAAGAGATTAATAACAACTAATAAAATATTTAATACTTATAATAAGATGCTGTAATCAAAGTTAGATGAATGTACTCTCTCTCAAAATATCTATTCTACTGTGCAGAACTCTGGACCACAGGCGACCTTGGGTAACTACAGCCATGGAGAGTGAAATCATGGATGGGGGGGGGAGCTGTTGGATTTCTAAAATTTTTCTAGAAATTTTCAAATATACCTAGAAATAGAATACCACAAATTCAATAATTATGAACACATACTCAGTGTTATTTCATCTACACATCTACCCCTTTCAAGATGATTTTGAAGCCAATTCTAGTTATCATATCATTTAATCCATAACTATTTCAGTAGGAATCTCTAAAAGAAAAGGACTCTTTTTTTTCCAATCAAAATCACAATATTATCACAGCTCAAAATATCCAGCTGATGTTCAAATTTCTAATTGTTTCATAAATGTCATTGCTGAATTGCACTTGTAAAGTAGTTTACATTGATGACATTGTATAACATCTTTTGATATAGAGGAGGCTACAGAAAGAGAGTTAAAACACTTGGACTTGCAAATAAAAAGTCAACCTTTTAAAATCACTTTTAAATAAATATCCATTAAAGTTGGAAATTGATTTCTTACAAAGCACCTGGAAGAGTACTGTATATGAATCAGAATGGAAACAGTTAACTAGAATAAAACCTGTATAAATATACAAAAAAGAAGTGACAAAGACTTCCTTTGAATAAGATCTCTGGGTAGGGGCTGAGGTTGGAGCTCAGTGGAAGAGTGCTTGCCTTGCAAGGGGTGAGGCCCTGGGTTCAATCCTTAGCACTACATAAAAATAAATAAACAAAGATATTGTGTCCATCTACAACTAAAAAAATATTTTTTAAAAAAAGATCTCTGTGTGGATGACAGTCAAGTGGGAGAGAGACTTAGTTCTCATTATACATTCTTGAGAACTTCTGACTTTTGTACCATGGGCATTGTTACCTCTGGGATTCTAGAACAGTTAACCCTTCTCCTGTATTTATTTATTACTGAACTTCTATATTATCATTTGAACAAAAGGTTCTGCTACTAAAACAACAAGAAAACAAGCAAAAAAGAAAGAAAAGAAAAAAAAATCCCAAACAATCAAAACCAAAAACATTTAAAAAGAAGGAAGAAATTAGAAAAATAAAAGGCCATAGATGAGTGCTGTGGTCCATCACCCCAGTGGACCCTAGCCTTTGAGTCACCCAACCCAACACCCAGCATTTGACTGAAGAAGCTTCCAGGCAATATCCAGTCCCCAGCCACTTGAGTCACCTGCAGACATCCAAATCACCTTGGTTGTTCAAGCATTTCCAACTGAGCTTCCAGACCACATGGAGCAAAGAGAAGTCATTCCCAATGTACTGTGTTCAAATTCCTGACCCTAAACCAAAGAATCTGTAGACATAATAAAAGGGTTGTTGACAGATGCCATAAGTTTGGCATAATGGTTATACAGCAATAGATACCTAGAATACAGTTTGGTATCTGAAAGTAAGGCAGTGTTGCAACAAAACCTAAAACATGTGCCATTAATTTTGGGATTGGAAGGTGGGAGGAACCCTGATGGGACTGGAGGGCTGTGTATGGGGGATGAAAGGAGAGCAGGGGACATATTACGGTAGATGAAGGACACTGACCCTTGTTATGTTGGGGTGGAAAGTTTAGCAAGATTGATGCTCAAGGAAAGTGGACAATGGGAAAAGTACCTAATGAACAGATGGGACAGGCTAAGGAGATTTCTTGGAAGAAGCCAAGTGTCAATTCTTTTAGTTTCCTATTTTAGGGTGCAGATAAAGAGAAGCTAACAAAGGAGTCATGTAGTTTGCAATCAGAGTTAGAGTAAATATAAATTAGGATTCAAGACTTGCAAAGTTAAAAAAAAATAAAATAAAGCTATGTCTTATCCCCAATCTCTCGGAAAAAGGTTTTCAGAGTAAGAAAGGGCCTTGTGACAAAGATCAAATATAGGACACTGGCAGGAAACAAAGCCTCAGAGTGAAGAGGCCCAGAGTGTGACTACTGGAGACTTCAGAAAGGTTTAAGGTGGGCTTCACGGATGTTGTGTCACAAGAACCTCAAAAAGGGTTCAAAGTAGAGAAAGGCTTATGCCAAGATAGATGTGGGGATGGCTCTTGTCTAACAAAGTGAAGTCTAAATCGATACATAAGAAACCCACTAAGATTTTCCAAAAATTACACCATTTTGGACTGAAAGGTACACTACGTGACAAAAAGACTCCTGAAATGCGCGTGGAAATCACGCTGACAAAACCACACAGCTGCAGCACAGACTGCTTTTTATGTAAAGGGAACATGACTAAGAGGGAAAAATTAGAAGCCCAGAAGGCAAAACCAGGAGCCACAGAAAAATTCCCGGGAAGCAGAACTGGACTCTCATCAAGGAACTGATGTCATTTTCCCGGCTGTATTTCAGAATCGCTATCAACTGGTGACTGTTCTATGAACCTCATTCCAATCCGTCTGCTATGGTTTAGGCCATATGAGAAGTCTCCCAAAAGTTCATGTGTGAGACGATGTAGGAGCATTCAGAGGTGAAGTGGTTAGATTATGAGGGCAGTGCTCTAATCAGTGGATTAATCCATTTGGTGGATTAATGAGGTGAATGGATTAGTGGGTAGTAACTGTGGGCAGGTAGGGCGTGGCTGCAGGGTTATATTACCCTTGCTTCCTTGTACTCAAGCTCTCTCTGCTTCCTGGTTGTCATGAATTG